TCGTCTATAAATTGATTTGGATTCGACTTTCATAGAAAAAAAAAAAAATTGTAAATTTAAATGATGCTTAAATTTTGTGAAAATATTTAGACAAACCGATATAACATTACCTTAAAAATATTATTCTCTGTCGATTTTGTAAAGGGTGATTTTATTCTAAGATTACTCATAAACGTAAAAAAAATGATTCTGCTTAAATTAGCTTTGTCTATGTTGGGGGTGGGCTAGACCTAGAGAGAGAAAGTAAAAGTATGCTGATTACTGACACCTTTTTAAGTYATTTTATTATTTATAGTAATAGGTAGTGTAATACGGTTTAAGCTGACAGACGAAGGTACTTAAGTATGCAGTATCCTGTATCACAATAAAATAACATAAATCTTAATGTCTTAAAATCATATTGTAAGTATACGAGTATACCTTTAAACTTTTAAAGTTTAAGTATTAAGTTATAGGCTTTAACCTATATCTATAGTAGTAACTAGTAATAGTAGTATAGGCGTATAGCTATAATGTGGGTACTAAAAATGGTACTTGTTTGTTATCGCCCCGCCAGTACACTGTATACAATTTATCTCCCCTCCACTTTTGTTTGTTATCGTTCCGCCATAAATAAAATGTATTATAATACAATAAAAAAATTTAAAAAATGTATTATAATTATGAATTTAAAAAAAAAATGATATAAATTTACAAAGAAGGCCAGAACTCAGAAATATMTTTTAGTATAGTTTCAAATGCATAATTTTTTCTGAGACATATTCTACACATAAATTCTGCCAAATAAGACTCTTAAACCCTTTTCCTTCCAGCAACTTATTTTCTGACACCACCATCACGATCCCTCAATAATCATTACCTACATAGCCATTTTCAAAAGTACCCTAAAAATTATAAACAAAAATCAGTCAAATTAAAATTTTTATTATTGTTATGTTTAAGTTCAGAACTGTTTTGCAGAGTGGTCAAATAATAAACATCATTACTATTTGTTAAATGTTTACATAACTTTAATTTAATAGGTATCGAACAACTGTTTACTAAACTTTTCACCGCGTTACAAAAATATAGTTAGGTACCTATTCATTTTCATGAGTAGTAAAATTGTTCTGTGATATTATTAAACATAGGATTGGACATCAACATATCATAACCAGTAACCATGGTCATGGCTGACTTAAGCGAAATCTGATGGGATGGGGTATCATACCAAAATTGCTGATTCGAAAAAAAGTTTAAAGCCGGAGCTATAATAACGAATGCAATTCTAAAATAAATAATTTTTTTCTGTAAATCAAATACATATTATTATGAATGTTTAGTCTAAAAGCAAATGCAATTTATACTTAGATATAATATGTAATATGTATATTATTATTATTTATCAAATAGGCACTGATTGGAATATAATTTTTGTTAAAATATTAGTTAAAAGTTAAAAGAAATAAAATAAATAATTCCTAATACAATTTTGTTGTAATTTATAAAAAAAAAAAACTAAAAAAATCGAAAAAAAAAATTTCTATAAATAACTACAAAAGATTTAAAATATTATCAAGTCTTTAAAATTCCATTATAAACATTCAGTGAAAATTTCATGTATCTACAGTAATTTGTTTTAGATTGACACCAATATCTAAAATCGATTTTCTCAAAAATTTATTTTGCGTAAAAATTCCAGTTTTTCTTAATTTTTTTTTTCACAGTGATTTTGAAAACTACTGGGAATTTAAAAATTTGAAAATTTGACCTCCCCAACGCACCAACAAGATTCGCTTTTCAACCGGAAAAGCTATTGAAGTTGAAAATCGAAGTAGGTACTATTTCTACAACTCATCGTGTACAGTGTACACTGACACAAAAAAAAGCGGGAAAGTGAATATCGCTATGCTGCAGTATAATAGGTTACAAGTAGGTTACTGTAATGGATGAAATTAAATTTGAATCCAATGACATCAAATTATTGTATACGAAAAACGATTCTGAGTGGAGGCGGTTTTTCTGTCTAGGATATATCATAAATTATTAAAAAATTTCATATCTTAGATTTAAAAAGAAATGTTTTATGAATTTCTAGCTTAAAATAATTTGCGAATTTTCATGATTTTTACRTATGTTGTCATAATTCAAACTTTGAATGCTAGTAAAAAAAATTGAGACTATGTATTTTTTTATTATACAACTGCTATTGTGAAAATATGTTAGGAGCCTTGTATTAAATTTTCAAGCTTTTCATATGCTTATAAATAGTTCAACTTAAGTCGAAATTTTTTGAAAATTGCATGGTGGATAAAATATTCTACACAAACATTCGGTGAAATTTCATGTATCTATGGTCAWTTGTTTTAAAGTTACTTCAAAAACCAAAATCGATTTTGTCAAAAATTGATTGTGTGTAAAAATTTTCGTTTTTTTTTCTTCATTTTTATTTTGTTTATCCCAATTATTAAGAAACATATTGGAAATTTTTTACTTTTCACCCCATAAAGTACCTACTAGATTCATTTCCTGATCAAACGAGGCACTGAAGTCGAAAATCGAAGCACTTTTATTGTCCCAAAACGTGATAATAGACAAAAAAAAAAGCATATACTAATATTACTCCGTGGTTTTAGGGAAAATCAAAAGAAAGAACAGAATGTTGACTTACAAAACGTAGTTTTATTGTAGCGCACTAATGAATGTTAGAGATTCTATTAACGGCCTTTGTCTGATATTCGTGGAGTTAATGTTTAATTTTCTGACAGTAATTTGATGTTTTTTGTTCAATTGAGTCAATATATCTGAATTCCATCAAATATATTTATTAGAACTCCAATTTATAAATTAAAAGTGATTTAGAATAAATATTTCATTGATTGAAAAAATTGATTCTCACCTGAAATTGTCCAGATTGACGATGTTTTGATTAAAAATTTGATTCTCAAGGTACCAATAAAGGTTCCTTTTTATACTTCAGGGAATGAAAATTCTCAATATTATATTATTTGTCCTACGCGAATGTCCATGAATAGAAATATTTTAATCTTCCTTTATTCTTAACTAATGTCTGAGTACGTATATAAAAAAATATGAATTTATTTATAACAGTTTTATGAATATAAAACAAATATTTTATTTTTGTGTATTCTAATATATTTTGAGCCTTACATTTGACAAAATTCAAAAATTTGTCAAAATTAACTTCTGGCGAGCGTAAGTCTTTATTAATTTGATGCTAATTTCCATTACATTCGGCTGGTGTAAATGAAAGGCACAAGAATGATAATTGTTGTTCAACTATTGGACTATTCTGTGTTGTTAAACGCTCTATAAGTTTAATAAATATGAGTTATTTTTTACTTGAATTTGTATCTAGTGAAACCAACTAGGTATATAAAGAAATAATGTTATGAAATAAATATTTAAAACCTCCAAAGTATTATAAACAATTGTCGTTATTACGGCAATGTTATTTATAGATAGAAATATGAATAAATATAACAATGATATAATATAATACAATATAGAATATAGAGAAATATGGATAATCAAAAAATATTTGTTTGATTTTATCAAAGAATAACAATAATTATTGTTAAGTTTTCAATTTTCAGTTTGGTTGATGACACTTCAATTACTATAGATGACATAAATAAAAATAGTATTCATAGTAAATCTACTCATGTATTAAGTATCGTCAAAACATGGTTTGATAATATCCTCCTAGAACTTAATTTAACAAAAACTGGCTTTATGAACTTTAGCATAAATAATTTGTCACCCACTGGAAATAATTATATTAAGACGCACCTCATAAATTGTCATGAATTTAATAAAAATACAGTAACTGCTATTAGTAATGACAATAATGAATAAGTGTAATTGCACTTCTATTTCTTCAGTACAACAAGTAAAATATCTAGGTATTACTATAGATGCTAACCTTAAATGGCAAAATCATATAATAAATACAACTAGAATGATCAGACTATTGTTCTATAAATTTAAAACTCTTAGCAACATACTATCACCTACCACAATGAGAATGGTTTTCATAGCTATGGCCCAGCCAATTTATTCATATAGTATTGCAAGTTTGGGTGGTGTCTACAATATACATCTAAATGCACTTGAAACCACTATAAATTCTCTTATTAAAATATCTTTTAAAAAACCCTATAGGATGAGCATTGTATTATTATATAAAGAATGTAATTTATTAAATTTAACTCAATTATATGCACGACATATATTATTGAATATGTTTTTCCTTCATATTCAAAAATTTAAATTTAAACATAACCATATTGTACAAGAGCGAAACAAACCAATATGTATTTAATTCCTATGTGTAGAACGGAATTTGGAAAAAGAAACCCTTTGAATGCTGGAATAAGATGGCAATGGAACTAAATATTGACGTTGGTTTGTATAAAATCTTTAGATTATATAAGAAAATGGTAAATGAAAAAATTAAATTACTAACATAGATAAATTTTATTATATCTGTATTCCTGTAAAATTGTTAATTTATTCTGGAATTCAAAAAATATTTAAAAATGTATGTTTATGATAAGCTTATAATCACTAAATCATCTATAATCGACTTATAATGTATTAATTTAATTATAATTAATTATTTTAGTAAATGTACGAGATATTTTTAAGAACCTTGTCTTCACAACAAGCCTAGCTTACGAAGACAATTATGTCTATAATGACATTTTATAGTATGTATAAATTTACATGTATGTATACATTTCTATTTTTAAATGAAAATAAATAAATAATAATTCAATAATCCATATCCCATGGGCCATGAGCTACTATTGTTCCGTGGTAATATTTCTGTAAATTCTGGTTTATTTATTTTTCTTTCTTATCACTCCAGGAGATACTTCGCTATCACATTATCACCATAGATAATAGAATATATATGGGTATCACCTTCTTTATCCGTGGTGAGAACGTGAGGTACATCATGTTTGAATGATAGTGCGTAATGGTCGCGAAAAAAAGCAATTATATTATATAAAAAAACCGTACCACATACCTATTTTGATAAAACATAATAATATTGTTTTATATCTCTTATGTAGTTGCTTAGGCAGTCTTCAGTGTTCAGTCATAAAAAAGATATGCTGCTGCTGCCTGCTATTATTATTTATTATTATTCGTTGTTGTTGCCGCTGTTCAATTAGTTGTCGCCGTTGTCGGTATCTATCAACCTATCTCTTATACCTAATTAAATATTATTATGTATTAATTATGTTCATCTGGCTGTGCCGACTTGCTCCGCCACTGTTTTGTGGCCGTTCGCACTGATTTATTATAACCGTAACTTATTAGTAGGTWCATATAATATTCCCGAAATGCGCACTGCTAGATAAAAAACATTAGTTTGACTTACCATTTAATACACATACATACATACTTACACATTTAAAATGAGTAACAACAAGGATAATAAATTGTTTGAGAAGCTGAAACAGTTTTTTCGCCTTCATCGAGGAGGTCCAAACTTAGGTAAGTTTTCTCCTTATGYTTTTGTCTGCCTACAAATGTGGAGTTATGTGTTTGAACTTTCCAGGGGCTCTGCGTGTAAAAGATGACTACACATTAACCGAGGATCAAGGGCAAAGGATATCTTCAGAGTCGTCGATTCACACCAGAATCAAAGCTATCAAAGAACTAGCTGAGGTAGCTAAATCTCATCGACTTGAAGAGGTAATGCTTTTACATATTATTTTACATTTGATTGTTTTCGAGGATTGATTGACTCAAATAACTTATGATAAAATTGTCCATATCTGCATTGATTATGTACTTAATAGGTAGTCCAAGTGCTTATGTAGTACCTAATTATTGATCTTACATTAAACTCTTATTATTTATACAGATAGGTATTTATGTATGAAAAAAATATTGTATCTCCCAAAAAAAACTTAAAATGTATGCTTATTCTATTTTGGCAACTGTACCTATAGCCCTGTTTTTTTTTTCTAGACAAGTGAGTTATTTATTAATTTCTTTAACTTTGAATTAAAATTTAAAACGCTATTTAAAATTATATGGTAATAATAAATATTTCTTATTATTTTAAAACAAGTAAACTCTTGGATGGGACCAGGTTCATTTCCTGATTGCCTAATGTGCATTTAAGAAACACGACTACCAATTCTGTGGTAGTGTTTAATTTATATATGTATGCAGTGGCATATTTTTCTTGGAGGTTTCTTGACTTTTGACAATACTTTATCTCCATAAATATTAGTTTCTTCACAAATTTATATCTGATTATAATACATCTTAAGACCTTAAATAAGTGGRAATTTTCTTATAAATAATCTTAGGATTATTAATTACATTTTTAATTATAATAAAATTATGACAGGAATAATGTATTAATATTTGTGTGAATGAAATAAAATTAATTTAACACTTAAATTTACTGAGTTTTTTCTCATATAAGTTAAATTTATTTTTTATACTCAAATATTATTATAGATATGTTTAAAAAAAACACTTATGTAAATTTCAAAGTTTAAAGTCTTTTTTTTACTGACGATTTGTCCTAGATACTTGTTAACTTTCAACCCGGTCTTTTGATTGATTGATCCAATTTACTTTTTCTACATAAAACAATAATTTATTTATTAAATTTTATAACTATGATTTAGACTTAGTTACAAAAAATAAAAATAAACTTGATATATACTGTCTATAGTATTACGTATGTAAGTCTTTATATTTTTAAGTGATAAAAAGGATCTTTCTTTCTGTGCTGTTGAAACTAAAAGTGTTGCAAAAATTATTAACAATTTAAATATATCTGGATATATTTCCGGATTATGTAGAGACAAAGTTTCCATTGCAATTCTATAGTAAGTTAGTTGTTTCTAAATTTCTCGGTCGTTTTACCCAATAATAATTATGGTCTGATAATAACACTGTCTTGGAGTAGGAACAAAGTTTTTCCATGTATGACTAATGCCTATCACCTGATATAAGATGAAATATACATTATTCAATTTTCAAAGCAGTTTTAAAATACTTCATCAATTGTCAACCATATTTCAGTAATGAATAGAACTAGAAAAAAAAATTGGGGATGCGTTTAACTGCTAAAACAACCCTCTTCTCTAAATACGCCAGTGTATGTATGATCAAATTTTTATTTTAGCTACAATCACATGTATTATTATTGATTTTTATCATCTGGTTACAAAATTGTATTGTTTTACAGAATGCTGTTGCAAGTTTATGGCTTCAAGTACATGATTTATTTAGCCACCATGTTCCCAAAGAAGATCGCCATTTGGTGTTTACACTTATTAGATCCATTATTCTTGGCCAATTTGGAAATCTTGGAATGTTACGAAAACATTTTTTTAATTTCATTAAAAGCCATACTATTTCTGAAGATATATCATACAGGTTAAATATAGTTGTACTAATTTGTATGTAAGAATTCATATTACACAATTTTTAATAATTTTTTTATTATAATTAGAGGTCGGATTTCTAGCTAATTATATATTAGTTTAAGTTATTTCCAGTAAAAATTTTTCAATAAACTGAATGATCATGTTAAATCAAGTTACCTAAGCATAATTTACTTATTAAAAATGTCTAATGCATAAAAGCTAGTTTGAAGAATTAATAAGAAAATAACTAATGCATAAAAGATTTTATTGAATTAAAGTTATCTAATTATTTAAAATTTAAAAATTGTTGTTTATAGGTAGGTACTCTAAAATATTTTAAAATAAATATTTTGATGTTTCTTTATAGTACACGTGAACGTCTTCATTAATGAAAAATTGAAATCCGACTTCTAATTATAATTCATTGTAAATAATTTTACTTTGAATTTGATTATAGGTTAGAGCTATTAGAATGTCTTACCGATCATGGCCGTGATATTGTCTATCTAGAAGAAGAAATATGCCCTTGGTTAACAAATTGGGGTGCATCTGAATTAGCTCCTGCTGGTTTTACATTACAGTGGCTTGAAATATCTATTAATGTCATAAAATTTAATGCCACTTATTTGGACGATGAAGTTATCAATACTGTAGTTCAGTATGTATATCAAATAATGCCTCATAATTATTGCAGTAGCATTTGATTTTTGTTATAATTTATGTATTTATTATATTTTCAAATAGGAGTTCATTTTATATATGCTGTTATAGTAAAGATGAAAAAGTTGTTTTAGAAAGCTTACGACTTTTGGATACCATTATATGTTATAATCATTTGCCTCCTCAATCTCTGCCTATATTTATTGCCACATTATGTCATACTGCAAATTCAAAAATATACTGTTCACATTGCTGGAAAGTAAATAAAAAATACTTGATTGATGTAGATGTATGTGTGTATATATAAATATATACTTTATGTTTAGACCATGCGGAAGCTTTTAGGAACACATATGGGATACTCAGCAATTATTTTAATTTGTCAAATGCTTCTCCAAGAAGTTTCTCACCGTAACGCTGGACTTGTGAGAGGCGGGTTGTTCTATATTAACATGGCTTTATGGAGTAACAATCAAGTCACATTTAAAATTTCTCTTCTTTCAATTTTGCCTTCAATTTATAATGTACAAGAACAACTTATTGTTTATAAATTAGTTTATTACACATTAATCTTTTTAACAGGCGTTATCATGTGACCATCCAACAGTTGTACTTGAAGTTGTATTAGGAATGGAATCATTGATAACAAAATATGGATCTACTATACGTAGCACAATTTGGGAAAAAGTTTTAAAAATATTAAAAAAAATAGCAGAGTTTGTCAGTAAGTCATATAAATTAATATTGATTTACATGAATAAAATATTACATTATTTTTTAATTAAAATTAAATTGTTTAATTTACCAAATAATAATTTTATTAGACAGAAATGGTGCCAATTCAATGCAAATGATTGCAGACCATCTTAATGAAACCTTATCAAAAATTGAGTCACTTATAGACAATGATCTTTATAGTGGTAGTCTAGATGACATTTATGATGTCATTGAAACATTTTCAATTTATAGACCTGTAAGATACTTAAAAGATATTCTTTCAAAATTGTATACAATATTAATCAAAAATTTTTATTTAGGAATCGTCAGTTAATAACTTAATGTCATACAGAAAGGAGTTCCTTGTTCCAACTGAATACCAATGGATTGATAATTTGAAAATGTTTCTAAATCACTTCTATACTAAAGAAAACAGAACTCTTATAAGAATACAGGCTGTGAATCAGACAATGAAAGAAGTTTACCAACAAAATAGGTAAGTGGGATTTTTTTTATTGTTATTTAAATCAATTAATCTAATATAATACATGTTATCAACTGTACAAATTTAAGATTTTAATACAACTTTAATATTATACATTTGATATCTACTGTACTGAGTTAACCTACTTTAAACTTTTTAAAATCTTCTTATTTGTTCAACAAAAACTGATGATAATATTATTATAGAATTATGATTTTGGTTCWAAGTATAAAGATGATGTAAAATACATATTCTAACTTCCTATTATAAATGGTATCAATTAAAACAGTAACGAAATATATAAAATTACAAATATCTAATAATAATAAAACATATTTTGGGTACCTAGTTATAATTATAAGCAACAATTTTTCAACTAATTTTTAGACGTTTCAAGTGCTTGTGTTATTCTTCTTATAGTTCCTGTTGTTTCTGTGGCTGAACTGCTAGATCAGATCTACCATTTTAAAACTAAATCTATTAAACAATTAYCTTATATCTCACGTAGACAAGAATTTTTATCTAGTATTATAATTTTAAGAACAGAAACACACTGAGAAGAAATTTCATAAAATAAAAGAATCTATTAATATAAAAATTAATGAATTATTATTTTAAAAAGTTGTCAGTCTTTGGCCCACATGCAACATAGACAAAATGTTTTTATACAAATTTATTATTTTTTTATGTTTTGGATTAATCTGAGAATAATACCTAACCTTACCTTAAAATATTTAAAACAAGACAAAAGGAAGTGAATAATATAATAAGGTGTGAAAAAAGAAAATATATGAAAAGTATAATAGAAAGTTCTGAAAATAATTACTGTGGCTATAAAACCAGACAGTTAAATCAACAAGTAAATAAACTCTGTTGTAAATATAAAAAGAAAGATTGAATCTTCAAAGACAACGTGAGTTCTTTAATAACCACGGATGAAGCACTGATAGAGACATGGAAAAGTTATTTTGATGATTTACTAAACTGTAATGAGCTAGAAGAGGTGTTAATATTTAACATAATTAACGAGAATAACAACAATATTATCCGGAATTAACACTATAGGAAATTGAAATCCAAATAAAAATGATAAAAAATAATAAATCCCCAATGAGGATAAAATACAATCAGAATTACTGAAAAAAAGATGTAAATAGTTGGTTAAAAGCATATGGGACCTAATCAGAAACATACGAAGGAGAGAAAGCTACTCGAAGACTGAAAAATGCGATAATTTGCCCAATATATAAGAAGGGAGACTCTCAGGRTTGTAACAATTAGAGGTATATTGAACGTGACATGTAAGATATTATYTAATTATATTCTATCAAAAATAAAATGAAGGGCAGAAGAAATAATTGGAAATTATCAAGGTGGCTACAGGATGGGAAGGTTAACTATTGATCAGATATTTATATCAAGACAGATCTTTCAAAAAGCTTGGGAATATGATAGGGATTACACATCTTTTTCATTGATTTCCAAAAAGCATACRACTTCGGAGTTCCAATTCCCTAATAACATCATGAATCTAATTMTATGTGTAATGTAAACAAAAGTCAAAGTTACGTTTGGTTAGTGTCCTGATTTCGGATAGGGTATAAGTAAAATCTGGYTTAAGACAATAAAGGGCGACAATTCAAATATCGTAACGATGGTAACAGAACATAATGGCCAGGGAAGTTAAACTAGATTACAGACAGGCAACAAATAGTAATATGGGTTAGCAAAGACATTAGGATATCCCGAGTATTATCTAAAGAACTAAAAAAGCAATAACACATTACATTGATCCGTTCAGTAATTCTGTACGGAGCGGAAACATGGCCACTAAGAAAATCTGACAAAAATACATTTTTAATACTGGAAACAAAAATATTTAGGAAAACCTTTGGATCAGTTAAGAGATTGGAGAAGGAGGAAAAATATAGAGATTGAAATTTTATTCCAAAGCATAATTATAACGAAGGTGATAAAAAAGCGAGCCAAAATGAATTAATTAAAGCAGTGATGGAACAAAATCCAACYGGAAAAAGGCCGGTTGGAAGATCTAAAACAAGATGGAAACACTTAGTCAAAAAGGATGTGCAATTGCTAGATGAAGGAGCAAATTGGAAAGAAAGAGTAATAAATAGAGAAGAATAAAGGAGTGGGTGTGAGTTGGAATGGTCTGTAAAGGCTTTTTTAAACATAGAAGAAGAAAAAGAAGTTTTTTGAAAACAATTTGTAAATCTTTAAAATTACAAAACTTTTAAGTTGAAAAAGTTGAATAGTAATAAAATATTTATATTTTTACTTTAGATAAATCAACAATCTGTTACATATAGTTACAATAAGAAGAAGGATGTGGTGTATATATTAGGTGAAGATAAGCGTGATTCAAGACGTTATCCATTGATAGCACTTGGSGTGTTTAATTTAATTACAATTTATATTCGAGTATTGTTAGAGATATAGAGGCAATTATCGTTTTAGCCTTCGGGGAAGATTGTCTAGAAGTAACTGAGAGGCGAGGTTTGTAATGAGGGGGTTGGTATGTTGAGGTAAGTGGGAGTGAAATTTGTTGTAGTGTTTGGCTATGTCTTTAATAAAAGGGATCTTCAGGTCATTATGAAGAGAAATATTTGATATGTTTAGAGGAACGTTTGTGATGAGTTGAAGTAATTGGAATATATGTATTTGATTTTTATCAGAACTCTAGAACTAGACGCCACAAGCTCAGATAAGTTTTAAGAGGAGATTGTAGATAACAATTTTTGTTTTTAAGTTGAGTGTGGATTACTTATTAAGGATATTTTTAAGTAGGGAAAATCTATAGTTGAGGGTAGTTTTTACTGTTTTTTTGTAAGTGTTTAGATCAGTTTAACTTTTTGTCAAGTTAAAAGCTTAGGTATTTGACAGTATCTGAAGAAAGTATTTTGTTTATTCTTTAAGAAAATTGGAGAAGCTTGACGGTGTCGAATTGTAAATACTGTATGGATTGATTTTCATTCATTGATTTTTACCCTCCAACGAGAGAATCAAGAAGACAGTAGGTTTGGATTACTTGGTACGAACGAGGAAGCTATTATCGAGTTTGAGTGAAAAGCATGGTTGACTTTGTCATCTGCATAATCGGCAACTATGGTATTAGGGTGGGTTGGTTGGTCAGTGGAATATGGATTATAAAATGTGGGGGGAGATGACAACTTCTTGAAGTATGCCCACAAGAATCGGTGAAATGGAGGATCTGTCCGCGAAATATTTTCTCAAGTATGATTTTAGAAGAAGATAGTATGACGGTGGTTTAAGATTTTTCTAATTTATAAAGTAATCCAGGGTGTCAGAGCTTATCGAATGCCTGTGAGACATCCAGAAATATAGCTGAAGTATACATMTTTATTTCGATCGAGTTTGAAATGTTGTCTGCAAGTTTGTGAATTTGGTGGATAGGTAAATGTTTCCCACGAGACCCAAATTGAAAGTTTGTGATAGAGTTGTTACTTTTAACTATTGGGTTGATGTGTTTTAGGATTAATTTTTCACAGAGTTTGGAGAAGAAATATAGTAAGCTAATTGGTCTGTATGAGGAGGGTATATCAGGAGGTTTGTTAGGTTTGTGAAAAAGTGTTATTACTGAGAATTTCAATTGTATCGGAATATAAGATAGTCTTGAGAATTGAGTTGAAAATGTGAGGGATGTGGATTAAAATTTCTTTTTTTTCTGTAGCAGTTTGCGGAGGCTAAATAGCGTTCTATTTTGGCTGTTATTAATTTAAAACCTGATGACTTGCCTAAAGAAAATTTATGAATTAGTGTTTTCATTTCATTTGGAGAAAAACATTTTGGAGGTAGTGTGAGTGGTAATAGTAGTGATAAAAATTTGGTGATTTTATCTTCGTTTGGAAGGAAGTTTGGGTTTATGTTAGGTTGAAAGACTGAAGATAGATATTGTCTAAATATATCTGACTTCTGAGCCATTTATGGCACAGGTGCCCCAATGCTTTTTTAAAGAATGGGCAGTGAATTTGTGATTTAAAATTTTGCTAGTTATTTTTCATGGGGAGCACTCTTTCARAGAGAGAGGCTMTATAATTTTAGTAGTCATTGACACATTGTTTAGCATGTCGTGTTTTAAGAATATAACAGAGTTTATTGAATTTTTTTTGTCGGATGGATATTTTGTACGTTGTCAAATTGCTCTCGACCTTCTTTTTAKAACTATCATGGTTCCGATGTGAGTTTGTAGAGAATTCTGATTATGGTTCGGAGGGATCTTGGGAGAGTTTAAGTTCCATGCGGTGGTTTCTATTGTTTGGGTTAAGGTATGTATGGGTCATGTCTATATCATTTTCAAATTTGAGACTAGTTTTTAAGTTTATATTTGAGTCGAGAGTAGATTAAAATGTATTTCAATTTATTACATAATTTGTAAGAGAAGGAGGATTTTTTAGGGTAAGATTATTTTTAATAATTGGGAGTATTTATGAGTAATCCAATAATGGATCCGGGATATTTTATATTTTATCATGGAATCTGTTTGGTATTTTAGTTATGAATGTGGTCTATGAATTATCTAGATTTTCAGGCCGCTTTCGGGGGTGATGTTGGCCAATATGTGGAATTTGGAGGGTAAATAATTAGGTAGTTATTAGCATGGAAGATTTGTCGGAGAGTGGTACCACGAAGAGAGTTCGAGTGGTAGGTTAGGTTAGGTTAGGTGGTATTGGATATTGCTTTGCACTGATGTCGCCCCGACTATTAAGTTGTTTCTAAGAGTCGATAAATAGTTGTTAAATTTGTYCAGAGTTGTGGTGTGTTTAGGGAGGCAGTACGTGTAGGTAACTGTGATGGGAGTGTGGTCCTTGTAATTAGTATAGTGCATACTTGAATATGTGGTTCTCTGTATTGTGAGAAGGGGCGGTATAGGAGAAAGGATTTAATAAATATTGCAGCTCATCCGCAGGCTGAGTCTTCTGAATAGTTGGTTTTGAGGATGTTGTATCCTAGGTTGTACAAATTTGAACGGTATGTTAGGTGGGATTCAGAAATAAGGCGATATCAATTCTTTTATTTTGAGAAGTGAGTAGAAGGTCTGCGAAGGGGTTTGAATACCATTAGCATTCCAAAGGAGTAGCACTAGTGAGTTGGCGGTTGGATTATTTTTACTTAGTGTTAAATATTAGTTGTATGTAATTATATGTAATTGTATGTAGTTCAATGTAACTTAGAGTTTAAGATCTGGAATTGGTGTTCTTTKTTGTTGCACCAAGTGCAATGAATTCTGTGCAGCTACACTTTATGAACATCCCTTGTGGCACCTCTAATTTCATGCACTTTTGTTTTTTGATTCACACAAAACTATTTTTGTTTGAAAATGTATTTAGAATAAATACACAAGTGCCACATTTATACTAGTACATTCTGTTGACTATTATATGGATTTGATTGTCTATGTATTATATAGCATTTTCTATAATTAAAATATAAACATTAAATATTGTAAATAATTTTTATAAACTCATAAAGGTAATAGTATTCTTCCGSATTTTTGTTATAAATTCTAGTAAGTCATGAAATCTTATACCTTGAGTAAAATATTCAAAAATTTTTTTGATGAAAGAATATAATTTACAATTTATATAATTATTATTTATCAACTAATTATAACTTACAATTATATAGTGCATTATATGACGGTGAACTAATGGAAGTTATCCTGAACGTGTTTGGTGGAATTGCTGAAGACACTGATCCATGTGTTCGAAAAGTTGTTTGTCAATTCATTATAGGTATTTGTAATGACTGTGAAAGTGATTATCATACAGATCTTTTACAAATACTTGGAACAGTATGTATTTTAAATTAAATTTTAGTATATAGTTAAAAAATTGATTTTTAGTTGAGTCRTAACTCATAGCATACAAAATTATAGAATTTATACATATCAATGACAATTTATAGTATGACTACTTATCTCTACTTCTCTCAAAGTACTTTCAAAAACTAATCTTTAAACAAAAATGTGATGCATTAAATTTGTCCAACTATTATACAGAGTGATTTTTTTTTATCATGAACCACTCATTATTTCAAAAAGTATCAATGTTTTTGAAAATATTTTTTTACAAAGTTTCATGTTGTTAAAAAAACAACGTTTTTATTAAAAAATTATGGTTTTTAATATTTTTTATCCTTATAATTTTTTAAGTTTTTTACTTTTTTGAATGACAACCTAGAGTTTTAATTTCATATTCCAAAGCWGAATATTTTTCTAAGTATTTTGATACGTAAAAATCGAATTTTGGACGAGTA